AATAATAAATAAAATTATAATATTTAGAATTAACATTAAATAATAAATAAAATTATTTTTTTTTATATATATATATTTATTAAAATTATTATGAAAATAAATACAATTATTTTTTCAATAGGTTTAAAATTATTGTTATTATTATATTAAAATAAATATAATTATTATTTCTTTTTTAATAATTTTAAAATTATTTTTAGTATTAAAATAAATAAAATTAATATTTTTTAGAATTAATATTATTCAATAAATAATATTATTTTGTTATTGTATTAATTATTATAAAATTATTTTTAGTATTGAAATAAAAAAGAAATTAATATTTTTTCGAATTAATATTATTAAATAAATGATATTATTGTTTTATTGTATTAATTATTATTAAAATAATTAAAATTATTTTTTTAATAATTATTAAATTACTTTTATTATTATAATAAAATAAATAAAAATTGATTGATATATATATATATATATATATTGAGAATTAATATTAATAAATAAATACAATTATTATTTAGAATTAATATGAATAAATAAATAAAATTATTTTTCTCTTCTTTAACTATTTTTCACCATTGAAATACTCTCTGTTATGGTGTTTCGTAATAATTTTGATCCATATTTCTAAACGACGCGTTAATTTATCAATTACAACACAATTCATTCATTCATTCAAATTATTTAACGTATAATTCATAGTTATGAATAATTCGTTTATTTATCAATCATCAGGTGCGAAGAAGAAAATCATCCTTGACCAAATATATATATATATATATATATATATATATTTACATATATATATAATAACAATCGATTTGCCACACACAATTTAGTTACAATCGACCATGGGTGTTTCTGTATATAGTTATTTTATCTAAACAAATAAACCGAAATAATACTCGAAATAATTTCCCTTTATGATGGTGACATTCGAAACGAGTAAGAGAGAGAGAGAGAGAGAGAGAGAGAGTGAGAGAAGGGTCAATGTTACGTTCCGATGTATGTGTGTGTGTGTGTGTTGACGTTTCATATAAAAATTTTAAATTCATTGACATAGTACACAATTTTTTTTATTTTATTCTTTTTAATTGATCTTGTTTTTAGTTTACTCTTTTTCTCTCTTTTTCTCTTACTCTCTTTCATTCTTTCTCTTTAACATTATGTAATATTAAGGGGGGGAAAAAAAATTGATAAAAAACGATGATATTTACTATACGAGCTATGAGAGAAACGAATACGTAATTTATCTTAGAAATTGATAAGAAAAACCGGTTCGTCAATGATCCAAATCGATCTATTTTATTTTCTTTTCTTTTCTTTTTTTTTCTTTCCTTTTATATTTAAAAATAAACTCTGCAAAAGTTAATACGCGTTCTGTTTAATAGATCACCCATAGAAAATACTATTTTAATTTTACTTTAATAATTAATAATAAAATTAGGTTATAATATGTTTTTAATGATGTTATCCGCGAAAGCCACTATAGTGGCACGTCGTACTGAAAGATGGCATCCGCGAAAGCCACTATAAGTGACGCGTAGTGTTCCTAAGAGGTTAAAGAATATTGTAAACGTTTTATTATTTCAAAATTCATTCAACTTGTGTGCGATTATGGAAGTGATGGTAGGGCTGCCATTGCAAATCAGACATCGTGTGCCAAATGAAATTTATGTTGACTGCATTATGCATTTTTGTGACAACGCACTTCGATCAAATTCTCTGCTTTACTGACTGACAATGAAAAAAAAAATCCTGTGTGCTATTTTCGTTTGACGATGACACACTTCATAACGAAATATTTTGCAAAAAAATGTCCACCCACCATTGTCGTCGTTGTCGTTGTCGTTGCATACAAAAAGAACAAAAATTATCGAAAGAGATCGAAATCATTTTAAAGGTGGTTTTATAATATTCATGGAAATTGGCTTATTAGTTTTCATTTTTTGCCGTCGATGATATGGTTTTCTCTTTCTCTCGTTCTTGGTTATTTCTTCTTCTATCTTGGGAATGTATAAGTATTTTCTTATAGATAACATTTGTGAAAGCCACTATAGTGGCGCGTTGTACTGCAAAAAAGATGGCATCCGCGAAAGTTACTATAGTGTCGTGTCGTAGTAGATGGCATCTACGAAAGCCACTGCAATGGTGCTTCGTACTAGAAAATGTCATTCGCGAAAACCACTATAGTTGCGCGTCATACTGGAAGATGATATTCACAAAAGCCACCATAGTGACGCATTGTATTGGAAGAAAGATAGAATCCGCAAAGCCACTGTAGTGGCGTGTAGTGCCTAAAAGGTTAAACACCATTGTACAATTTATTTTAATAATTAATAATAAAATTAGGTATACTATATTTTAAGACATTATCCGCGAAAGCCAATATAGTGACGCGTCGTATTGACAAAAAGATAGCATCCGCGAAAGCCATTACAATGGCGCATCGTAGTAAATGTCATTCGCGAAAGCCATAACAGTGGTGCATCGTACTAGAAAATGACATTCGCGAAAGCCACTATAGTGAAGCGTCGTATTGGAAGAAAGATAGCATCCGTAAAGCCACTGTAGTGGCGCGAAGTGCCTAAAAGGTTAAACACCATTATACAATTTAATTTAATAATTAATAATAAAATTAGGTATAATATATGATCCGATATATGACACTATAGTGGCAGGTAGTGGCTGAAAAGTTAACACCAATTTATTTAAATAATTAATAATAAAATTAGATATAATATATTTTAAAAGATATCCGTGAAAACCACTATAGTGGCATGTCATACTGAAAGATGACAACCGCAAAAGTCACAACAGTTGCGCGTCCTACTATCAGATGGCATCTACAAAAGTCACTATAGTGGCGTATCCTACTGCCAGATGGCATCCGTGATAGCCACTATAGTGGCCCATAATGCATAAGAGGCTAATTTTTCCCATTTAGAAAACAGAAACAATTTTATTAACTTTTTATTTCTACAAACTAAAAGAAAGAAGAAAAAAAAATGATAAAAAAATGAATTGTTTATCGTTAAATGAATTGTGTTATTGTTATTATTATTATTATTATTGGATATGTCTATTTACTGGTATCAATCCTGTTAGAGAAGATGGTGTGTACCCTCTTGAAAGCTTGCAAACTAGGCGTCGTAAAACCGGATCGCAAATTAACGATCTAGCGAGACCGTAAGTTTTACTTGGCATAATAAGATGTCACAACATAGAGTCGGTGTTTGTAAGCTTCCGGCGACGGTACTTCAAACATCACAAGTCTCAAGCCAAAAGTCTTTTGGCTTTGGAGTATTCTCGGTGGTTTCTGTCTGTTCGTGTTCTATCATCTTACCTTATTATCCTTTGCTAACTTATTCTTAAATGTTTACTTTTAAATTAGTCAACAAAATGAAAAATGATTTAGATTATTATTACAATGAATTGATAATTGATAATTAATAATTAATAATTGATTGTTATTATTATATTGAACAACAAACAATGAATTATTGTTAACCCTTTGAGTGCTGAATACTATTTGAACTAAAATGTTTTGTAGGAATGGAAATAATTTATTATTAACTAGATTTTAATAATAAATTATATTTAATAATTAAAGATTTTCTTTCTGAATATAATTTAATTTTGTTAATATTAACATTACATTATTTTACATTAATATTAAGAAACACGTATATGAGTCGATAGAAAATTCTGGTAATTTTTACCCAACGCATCCATATGCGTCCATAGTACTCTAAGGATTAAATTTCAAATAATAATAGTAATATTTGAAAAAAAAAGAAAAAACAAATAAAATGGAAAGGAACAGTATATTATTTAAATTTCTTTTTTTTTTGTTTTTTTTTTGTAGGAACTGCAACAGGGTAACGGTAGTTTCGGTACTGCAGGACTAGGCAGCATGCAGGACTCTCCTCATCCTTTAAAAATAAAACAGGAACATTTTCAGCTGTCTCCTCCTTCGCCACTTCCAAATATACATCAAGGTATGTATATGTGTATATTACATGCATGTAATGTCTGGTTTGTTTTTAATTCCCCTCTCTCTCTCTCTCTTTCTCTTCTTTGTGACAGTGTTGTTCAGTTAATTTACACATTACTTCAATAAATTTGCAAAATAATTGATTTCTGTATTTTTGTTGGTTTCCAATGAATTTTGGAATTACTGAATCGATCTTGAGGAATTTTTTACTTATTTTATGTGTCTTTTTTTTTAATTTAGGAATTAGGATAGTTTTTGTAACGATTAGTTTTATTTTTTATTGTTAATTTAAAGTGATTTATTATTTAGAGGTTATCTAGGTATCTAAGTACTGTATAATTTTTTATTACATGGCGCCATATTATAATACAATTCAATTATTGGCTATGTTCACGTCATTTGTTTCTTTCTCAGATTTACACATGAAATAACTAACCTTACTTTTTATATTTTTTTTTCGTTTATATTATTATTTTATGTACTCCATTTTAGTTGTGGTATTATTTTGTGTGTTGTTATTTATGTGTATTATATATTATACATATTAAAAATTTTTTATTGTTTTATGCCTAATTTTTGATTCCTAATAAATTATTAGTGAATATTGATTTGACTATATTAATTAGTTTTGAATTATAGATGGCGCTGTGATTACAATTCAATTTTTTCAATCTTTTCCAGATTTACGTACGACATAACCTTACTTTTTATATTTTTTCTTGTATTATTATTTTATATATTCCATTCTAATTCTGTTATTATTTTCTGCATTATTATAATTTACTAAATAGTTTAAAATTATATTAAATCAACATTTTATAACAAACCCATAGCAATGGGTGTCCGAAACACATCCTAGTATTTATATATATAGTTTGAAAAATGATTCTTTCAATTGGAAACGATTTCTGCGTAATATCCTGAAGTAGGATTAATTTTTCACCTTCTCTCTCTCTCTCTCTCTCTCTTTGACTGTTTCATTTTGTTCGTTTTTCGTACTCGCTAAACGGTCCCCGGTTCTAATAATACGAAAGCTTCGTAGCTGTCGAGTGTCATGCTCGCGAGGGAGTCCAAAGCGGAAAACGATAGTGAAGATGGTGGAAGAATTAGAGTAGCTAGGGTGGGAAAGAAAGAGATAGATAGATAAAGAGAGAAACGAAAGGGGAAAGTGATATACCGCGAGAGGCTGCATCCTGATCTTTCGACGCACCATTTAGTCACATTCTCTCCTGCGATCATAGTTCTCGTCAGATGGTCGTTACCTTGTCGTACCCTTTGAAATGAAAATCGTTTTTGGGTTTAATAGTCTTACGAAGGATTTCACAAAAAAAAAATGAAGATTTGCCAAAAATTTCTTTCACTAAATTCACTTATTTTATTTATTTATTTATTTTTTTTTTTGCTTCATCTACAACTTCTTTTTAAAACGTTGATCGATCGTTAAAAAGAAAAAAGAAAAATTTTAATAAATCTTTTACTTTATTTCAAAATTATTTCATTTAAATATTGAAAGTTTCATTTTGCACACAATCATAATATTTTAATATAATAATAATATAATAATATTTTTTATATTAATATAATAATAATTTAAACATTTAAATTATTATTAATGTTATTATATTAATTATTTATATTAATTACATTAACTTTTTTATATTAATTATAATGTTATTAGTTTATAATTTTTATTATAAATTAATAACATTTATTTATTATATTAAATACAGAAGAAATAATACAATTAATAAATATTGTTATACTATTGTATAATATAATAATTTTAATATTTAATATTATTTTATATATTTTTATTATTAATTAATATTATTATTTTATTAATTAATAATATTATTTTATTAATTAATAATATTATTAATTTTATAATATTTGTTAATATATAATAAATTATTATTTATATTATATTAATATAATATAAATATATTTATTATAATATAAAATAATATAATTAAAATATAATAAAAAACTGGACCGGGGGGACTCGAACCCGGATTCTTTCTTTACGGAGCAGCTGCTCTTACACCCTGAGCCATTCAAAGCTCTATTAAAATGTAATATATAATTTATATTAATACAATTAAAATAAAATAAAAAATATAATTATAATTTAAATGTAAATAATAAAAATATTGTTTAATTAATTAATAAATAATTATTTAATATTTTTAATAAAAATATATATATATTTTTTCACAATTATTAACACTTTGAGCGCCACGTGAATTCTTAGGGAAATTCCTGTCAGGCCACAGGCATTACTTTGTATTGAAAAAATAGTTGAGTGTCAGTCATATGTGACCGACGCGGCCCAAATGAAAAGTCTAGTGTCAGTCATCGATAACTGACGTGGCGTTCAACATGTTAAAGTAAAATAAGTTATATTAGAAACATGATGGGATTTAATATGGTCGGCGTGTGAAAATAGATTCTCTCTCTCTCTCTCTCTCTCTCTCTCGTGTCATACACACACCTTCAGAATAGAGAGAAGAAGAAGAAGAAGAAGAAGAAACTCGTTTGGTATATTTATCGATGATTATCTTACCAGTTTGTGCCATTTGTCTTCGTACAAAGAAATAGTTGAAAGTCTTATATTAAACGACTGTTACCATTTGTTAAACGAGAGTACGTGCCAGTAGTTTTGCAAATGGCCTCGAGTGTGATAAAGTATTTGATATATTAGATATATAGTAGATAATATAATAATCTATTAGATTATTATTACCTAACCAATGACATGAGAGACATGTCTTTTATTTGCCTTTTCTTTTTTTTTTTGACAATCATTTAATGATCTGTGTTAACAGCACACAGATGTATCTTGAATTTTATTTACTATTAATAATAGAAATAATTATTTATTTTTATTAATATTATAGTTAATTAAATTCATAATATTATATATATATATATATATATATATATTTAATTATTGTTATTTTATTATAATATATTTAATATATTACAAAATTATT